TGGTTTCGAGAAAGTTTTTCGATTTTTAGAATGCACGAACACAATCGTGCCCGCTAAAGGGTGAGTTATATAAAGTACACACCAGTTCCATTTAAACGGCAACAATTTCGAAGTGAGTGGCAAAAGTTATACTATATGTATCGCATTTAAGTGCTCATATGTTTGCTATTTTAATGGGAAATGATTCTCAGTTCCAGTTTTTCATTAAACATCACTCACTCGCTATTGTAACGTCGTTTATGTTCCGTCTTTTCATTGTCGTTGTCATCATCGTTCTTGTCACCGGATTTCATCGTCTCCACTTATCGTTGTACGACATTTTCAATTGTTTTGCTCCATAAACTTTCGCCGTTTGTATTGAAGCATCAACATTATGACATCATATACTGTCTTCCACTCGACAACACAAAATTGTACATAGAATGGTTTTGCTCCAGCAAAAAAACACACACACTCCCACAGTCAGTGTGCAATCTTGGTGCTTTTCGCCAAGATTAACGTTTGAAAAATGTTCGAAAGCAAGTCATTTCTTTCAATCCGTTTGGTTTTCCCTTTTCGGCGATTTTTCCATTTGCTCTCACAATCTTTTCGCTCTATTTAAATACTTAATGAAATGCGAAACATTGCACAAAACTTTAAGACACGAACGAGATGAGCAAGTTGACATGAGATGAAGCATTTTCGCGCGCACTTGTGTGTATAGCACATCATTGACTGGCACAAGTGTTTCTTAAGTACCAGCAGCAAGTGTAACCGTGTGTGTGTGTGTCATGGTTGTACAAAGGAAAGACGTGATTATACAGCTAAAAAAACAAACCGTGATTTTGAATACTGGCACCGGTTAATATGACTTGACAATAATCGGCTTTCTCTTTCGTTTTTATGTCTTCGTGTTCTTCTTGTTTGTTGGTCGTAATATTCTTTTATTCATAACCTCGATTTTATTTTGTAGTTGATGAAGACGTTCGTCAAAATGGTTAACTCTTCAAACTCTTTCTCTTGACAATTTCCATTGATCATAATAGCGTCTATTTTTAACCCGTTACACATATGCTTTGTAACAAAAATTGATGCAGCTGTTGCGCGACTTTTCTCAAGCACACGAGATGGATGAAGATAAAAAAAAGTGTCTATGTTTTGTGAGCAATATTAACACAAAGTAAAAATTATGGCGACGACGACGATGAGCGACGCGCTAAGCATCAAAATTGTGTCGCAGCAGAAGCGAGTACTTGAGCATCTCGTGTAAATCGATTTTTCTCTCTTGCTTAGCTCGTCTTGTCGTATTCTGTAGCCCCCCACTTTTAATCCACTAAACAGAATGCACGATACATTGTTATCATTTTGTTAGCGTGTGTATCGTTTAGCATCGCCGTTTTCCGTTGTCATATTCGAAGAAGGAAACAGACTTTATATATGCTTTTATTTTCGTTACACATGAGCGCACAACGTTCACGCAATTATTTCTCATGATCGAGAAAAGGGATCAGAACATCGACCACATTGATTGGTAGGCTAAACAAATTGTTGGCATAGTCGTTGCTCATCGCCTTCGACAAACATGTAGAAATGGCAAAATGATGGTTAATATAAATGCCCTGCAGCCTATACATGACAAGAAGTGGATTTTCATACCAAATTCAAATTCTGCCAATGATAATCACATGAGATGCGGGCAAAATCAAAGTCAAATGAAGAACACGAAGCATCGAATGCAGGAGCAATGAAAGAGAGACTGATGACAGGAAAAATTGAAAATGTGGCTGAATAAGACGCAGACACACAATGATTTTATTATGTGTTATCAATGGCATGCATGTATTGTTAATGGTACATTCATGTGCTTGCTCCCACAATAATACCCTTTTGCACGACATCGACATTACTTCGAAGAAAATCACATCTTTTCAACAAATTTAATAATAAACAGTGAGATATGGCACTCGATTCGTGTCTCGACTCTTGTTCGTTCTCACAGTTGATTGAAAATGGGTACCCTGTTCATCAGTCACCATTGTTGGCGAATTTCGCTTAAAAACTTTCAAAACTCAAATCAATATTTTTATGAAAACCGCTTCAATCATTTCACACTTTTCTCTTTAATGCAAGCCAATAACATTTATTTGAAATAAAGCAAAACAACACACGCTAAATAGTATGCGTTTCGACAACACATAAATATAAATACATTACAAAGTAGCATACATAATTTTTACAAACTGTTTCAGTTTGTTCTTATTGATATACAAATACATTGGCTCACGTCTCGTATTGTATGCGAACGTATGTATAGGAGCTTTAATGTAATACAATTAAGAAAAACTTCTGTCTAACAAGCTTTAACTTTTGCTCAAAGAACCATTTTCGCATTTGAGTTTAACTCTAATTTCACTTCGTGTGCACACATCACGGAATGTCGATTTTCAAATAAGTCATCGAATGAACCGCTCTGTCATAATTTTAGATTCATAAGATTTAATCGAATTATATGAAAACTTTTCATTCAGTATATAAATGATTGCTTTGAGTGCGTGACATGTGCTGCTGCTCAATACAAAACTGCGTCATTCTTATCTTCAAGCTCCGCCGTCCGATCGCATTCGATTCAATGTGGTAGTAGATTAAATCTTCTTCGTCTTTACTCAACAAATACAGCATAAACATGAGTTTGTAGTGATAACACGCAAACTAAAAATTTTGCTCAATCATAATTCATATCAATCAGAAACTTCAGAGTGACTGAACTCGGTTTGAGTGCGTACATACTTTGACAAATGTCAAATTATCGACTCGCTACTTATCAATGAACCAATAGACAAATTTTGTTTTCATTTTGATGGTGAATTTCATCGTTCATGGTATATATTTGAATTTTTGAGAGGAAAAAAAGTAGCAAAAATATGAGCACGAAATATTTTTCAATTGAATTCACATATTAAATTCTTACGATCGAATTCTTCTCTTGTTGTTAGCTAACGAAATATTTCATTTCCGCGCGCTTCATTGTGTGGGTGTGTTATTTGTTCAATTTTGAATAGAAAGTTGTTTGTGTGTGTGTCAAAAATCGATGTCATCCGAACAAAATGCCACAAAACTTGAGTGCACAATCAGGTAAATCGTAAATGTTGTCTGTCGCAGGATGTGAATTATTGAATCAAATAGTTTTCAACATTCTAATTTAATTATGTTTTACCAGTTTGTGTGAAATTGGCTGCGCCTGTCTATCTCTCTCTTTTTATCTCTCCTTTTTCTCTTTCTTATACAAGAAAAAACTACCAAAGTGGCAGTATAAATCTTTCGCTCCCTCTCTTTCTCTCTCTTCCTCTCGCTGTCGCTCTCACTCGCTCTCGAGAATGGCTAGAAATATGTAAATGACGTAAAGCAAGTTATAGCATGCAGCTCGAGAAAATGATGTTTCATCACATTTAAGCACCGTTGGTAAAAGTTTGTGTGTTCGTAACTTTTTTCTTTCGTGTCGTTTAAAACTTTTCGGGAATTTTTTTATTGCCACTTCTTGAAAACCTCAACTCTGAATAAAGAATAAATGTTTAAAAGGATTTTTACTGCCGCCATCACACTAACTTTGTAAATGTTCTTTCCCGGAAGCAGAAGAAAAAAAAAATTCTGCAAGAGGAATGTGAACAAATACAGTGAATCTAATTTTTTTGATAGACAAAATAACAAGCAAAGTAAGCAGAGAAACTCTCCACTAACATAGGATTCATTTACGAATGGCGTGTGAGTGGAGTGTGTCATGCAAAATTTTGTCTACCAAAAATATTAGATTCACTGTACAATTTGTCAAATCGTCTTATTAATTACACAAACAAAATTTAGATTTCATCATACAAGAATGTGGATGAATTTTTTTTGCTTGAAATCTTGTGATTCTGTGACGCAATTGAAGTGGATTTATTTGACAAATTTTAATAATACATATATGTATATCAAGTACCAACTAAAAATACTCAGCATACATTTGGTCAGCCACAAATAATTTGAATGCATACCACGCGACGTTCGACGGAAATGTGTCGCGTCGAAATGTCATAAATTCAAAAATTCATTAATTGTTTATTTTCGTTCACATCATTGCAATATTAATTTTGTGTGAACATTTACTGAGGTGGCGAAAGATATTTGCACTCACACAAAATAAACCGTATCATAAATAAACTATTCAGTTGAGAGTCACAAAAATAATGACATATTTTCATTGATGACATGTTTCACCGATGAACATGTGATTTTTTTCCTCTTCTTCTTTGATTTTGGTTTATTTTGTTGTTCGGAAAATGTTCGGTCCGAAATTACTTTTGCAGGTACAGTGCCGCAGAATGTGTTGGTGGAAAAGTGTATTTGTTGTGGCTGTCAAGCAAGCGATGTGACAGGTTTCAGATCATTGCTTGTGTACAGCATTATAATTCAGTTTTCGACATGACGTAGTATGATAGAGCGTCGATTGGTTAAAACTGTGGCAGTACGGTAAACCACAACAAATTACATACGGATTAAGCTTAGATATATGATCGACCTTCTATGTTGTGAAACTGGGCACAGCAACATCATTTTGGCTCTCATCCAATTACTTGGCATATTTTGTGCATGCACACACACAGATTGCATGCCTCGGCAAATCGATTCGAATCTATTGACATAAAGCTAGCAATTTGGATCGGCTTTCTATCTCTCACACTCTTTCTCCCTTCCTTTTTTTTTCTCTGTCAATCAATGATGCTTTCGACCGAGAAAAAAAGTTACATGTTCTATCTCTAGTTCATTCGAGCGAATGAATGAAAACACATAATTGTAGCTTCAACGCAACAAACATTGGTTATTTGTCAATTAAACTTGCAATTTAGTATGCCGAAATGGCTCAAACACCAACATGGAATCGTCGGTATTTAAGTGAAGCGAAGTCGTTTTTTTATTGTTCTGTCACCGGAATCGAATGAAATATTAATGAGATTTTGTTTATTTTTTCTTCTATCGTTTTACAGTTTTGATGTTGAAAATGGACAAGGAGCACGATCACCGCTGGAAGGTGGTTCGCCGAGCGCAGGTCTTGTTTTACAAAATCTTCCACAACGCCGCGAATCATTTCTCTATAGATCTGATTCCGACTTCGAAATGTCGCCAAAATCAATGTCACGAAATTCCAGCATTGCAAGCGAAAGGTAAGCCATTGTTGTTTTAAAAACGAAATCAATTCTTATTTCACCAAACAAAAAATCGGCACAAGAAAAAAAATTCAATTTTAAAAAAATGAATTAATTCGGCAAAAAAAACAATCTAAAATGGAATAAACCCTCGCCTCCCGCCAAAAGTAGCAATCCATATTGCGAAATAAATGGAAATCCAATGAAGCGAAAATATATATGCCTAACCCTTTGATAACCTTTTGTTTTATAACAACAAATGAAAATGTATTTATTTATTATTTTTAGTTTTGTATTTATACCACCCTACCTATATCCAAACTCTAATCAAAATAATGTTTATCTATATATATATTTTTCTCTTCTCTCTGTCTTTCATATTTTTTTATGTTACTTATCATAAACAAATTATTTAAAAAAAAAACCAAAATCGAACAAAACTTGATCAAAATAAATCCTGCATTGACCAAAATAAACACAAAACAAAAACAAAACATACGAACAAACATATAAAATAAAATTAAAATAGGGAAAGTCGGAGTAATGTTGCAAATGTTGCACCCATACGTGAAGAGTAAGTGTCTCTTTACCTGAAACAAAAATTAATAGTAATCTGATGTGTTTTTCTGGTAGTGTGTTCATTCTCAATCTTCTTTCTACTACTATTACTACTACTATTTTATGTATATTGGTTTAATTGTATGTGTTAGCATTTCTTGTTCTCGTTTGTACTTGTGTTATGTAACCGATATTGATTCATTTTTCGACCCGATCAATTGGCCACTAATTTATTTTGAAAAAACATGATTATTGTAAAATACAATTTGTAATGTGTTTAATGGATTTGGCATTTTATGATACAAGAGAATGTTTATTCTTTTTGCTTTTTGTATATTACGTTTTTTGATTAACCATCGCGCACTGGGTTGCTGCAAAACACGTATCACTGGCGCCCTCACTGTATTGCATAGTGAAGTAACTCAATAGTACGTGTGTGAAATGTGAAGATTTTTTCTCGCACGAACTAGATGGCGCTAATAACTAAGTGTCTTTGCAGCAATGGTGTGCCATCGCGTGATAATGTTTATTGAATATCCCTTAGTGATTTGTTGCTATTCTGCCGCAATTCGATTTCGTAATTTACTCTTTCAAATATATGTATTTGCATGTTTTTTAGAATTAGGATAATTTTTTAGTTAAGCTTTTTAATTGAAAATAACAACAACAATTTTGTGTTTTGAATTTTAATTGTTCTGCGCGGTTTTCGGAAAATGTTCATTTTCACTTCTGGTAATGACATTGTTAAATGCTTTAAAATGTGATGCAATGCATAAATGATGTTTTATAGCTCGAAACGAAATACGTTGGCATTCATTAACCAGATGATTTTATAAAATGTTTTTTTTTTGTATTTTGGGATTCAATTAACTTTGGTCTATTTCGCAGGGAATAGCGTCAGATGGATCTATCAGCTTAGAAAATAAAAAATAAACGTCACATCATGTATGCATAGATGGTACTGATTCATCTTTTTGACAGTATGGACACTACCTTGAATACAATTAAAGAAATTGATTTAATTTTTGTAATTTTTCGAGTGGTTCCCCCTGACTAAAACTGTAGTCCTCGAAGAAGAACCACTCGAAAATCGAAATGTACCATAAAATCATCATTTGGTTTCACCTCAGCTTTTAAATCCATTTGACGGTATTCCCTCGGTATTCCGGGAAATTATACTGTAGAATTGTGCAATACAATTCTCGGTGAAAAATATTCATGCCAGGAACATTTTCTCTTTTGTTTTTTTATTCTATTTGAAAATATCATTAATTATTCACATTCACTGGGCGGCATACAAATAATTTCACCAATCAATATACACCCATAAAATACAGTATAGCAGATAGCATATAATTATCCCGTGATGAAAACTGTGTTATGATTCATTATAATATTGATGCATTTTTAATGTGAAATTAACGATTTTGCCGCTCAACATTTATAAATGGATTGTTTTTTCTCGTTCACTCCATGGGATTTAAGCCAAAAATGGATTTATATATCGATTTGTATGGGGGGTGTATACAACATCACCACGTGCTGTAATGCTTCAATTCAACTAACTATCTGAATGTAACAAAAGTAAATATTACGTGATTCGTTTTGGCACAAAGAAAATGCGAAAGACGAAGAAAATGGAAGAAAATTGGCAAAAGGGTGCAACTGTCTGTTTGGACGTTCCATTGAACAGTTAAACAGCAACAAATTGATATATTACATATGTACGATAAATTGAAAGAAGTAATTGGTCATTTTGGCCGACTTTCCCTACCAACAAAATAAATCGATTTCCATTTTTATACATTGATTAAAACTGACACAAACATTTAATATCATTACTATTCAAATCATTTACTGTTTGCATTGCGTTTGTAAAAATTTATTTATTATCAGCAATTAAATGTTCCTAGCTCGTTTGTTTCTCATTCAATATTGTGTATCATCAAATTTTTTGTGCAAGTCTAACTCTCATTCCTCCACACATTCCGAAAGCAAGTTTAAATTTCAGTCTCGGTATTATTTGAAATTGTTCCAAAAAAATTCTCAACCCCAACCCAATTGAAACTATTTTTCTTCTCTTCTTTTTGTGTAAATTCATTATGTACATCCATAAATCTATTTTTCTCATTACTTTTTTGTGTAAATAATTGTATAACAAGCAATCGTTTTCATATTGTCTTTGAACATTTATTCACTAAATAATAATAACAAATTCGCTTCAATTTGATGTATATGTTGCATAGTTCAAAGTTGAAAACGTTATTTTTTTATGTCTAATAAAATCAACCGACCGAAAATTTAATAACACAATTTTCCGAAACGAAAATTAAATTTCGTGCATGATATGTTTGTCATATTTGCAAGTTCGTTTTTATTCACCAATTGTTGTTTACGTACAACCTTTTCGGTGTGCATAAAATAGTCGAAATATTAATAATGACATATATTTGTTGAGAGGAGAAAATTCAAAACCATAAAGTGGACATGTTCGGCGCAAATCAAAATATACACATGGAATATTGAACAATTTCGAAAATAAAACCACCAATATCAATATTTAATAAAAGCAAATTTAGTTGTTCCGCTCTCGCATGGGGATGAAAATGAAACATTTTTCATGTTTACCAATTTTTCGAGTGGTTTTGATTGCCTCTCAAGTATTATTAGGTAACATTTTACTGTTGATGTGGAAAATGAATGAAATATACACAATTTTCAAGGCGCGGACATGTTTTTACAAACATTACTTTTTACTCTCTTGGGACGAAGTAAATGTAAACAGGCAACTAATTCGGTTTTGTTGAAGCAAAATGAAAAAATCCGTCTGACGCAAGCCTGACTTTTGTTTGCGTGTTTTTCTAGTGGAAAAAATTGAAAAATAACAAAAAAGTAAAAAGAAATAAAAAAAAATCTCGCACTGGCGATGGTCCTAGTTCTTCAGCAACTTTTGTAAAACGACCACATTCTTTTCACGATTATTGGGCCAAAAACGTTATGCACAAGAATAGAAAGTTTGTCATGAACAAAAACACACCCGTCTGGCGCTTTTCTCCGATAAGCCATATTTTTTTATTATTATCATTTTCCATGAAGTTACCAACTCATCCTTGAAACATCATCAAACTACTTAATATACTTTTTTTCGTTAAAACAAAATGAACAAAATAGTTACGGCCCGCATATTAACATCCCAAAAAATAATAATACTTTTGTTTATATAATTATAGTATAGTTATAGTTTAGTTTTAGATGGATAAAAGCGTGTACAAAAGAACCCAAAAACAAATGAATGACCGTAGATATGTTCAGTTATTTAGAGTTCTGTTGATTAATTTATTGAGCAATTGGCATTCAAAATGACTTGAATCCATGTTTACGGTATTTTTTTTCGCTATTTTCTATTTAGATGAAGCCTGTTTGCGACTAACTTTTTTTTATTCACTCAATAATTGTTAATTTAAATTAAGATTTGCTTTTATTTGTGGGATGGGAAAAACATTGATAATACTTTGTTTTTCACTCTCTGTTGAATGGATATCTAGATGGATATTTAATCTCTCTGATATAACCATATCGCATCGTTGAAAGTTTTTCCACCATCGTTAAAACATTCTTTATACGTGTTATACATTTTCAGGTTTAAAGAGCAAGAGCAACAGGTTTTAGCCGACCGATCGTACGTATTTAGAGTTTTTCTTTCATTTTTTGTTTTTTTTTTTCGTTCTTATTCTTTTAGTTTGGTTACTCTTGCTTTTTTTCTTGCTTTTAAACTGATTTACTTCACATTTGCACACACTTCTATTTTTGAACAAAAAAAAACAACAAACACAAAAGAACACAATTCCATTAGTGAGAAATATTATATAACTTTTATGTAAATTTCGGTAATAATCGCCTTTAGCTTTTTGCAAACTATTTCCCGAAATTTGCACATAAGTTGTTCGTCATCACTAATGGAATGAGATTCTATATGCCCGGTTATGTCCATGTTCATACTCATATTCCTTTCGTTTAGTTTATGATTGGCTTGTAACTCTAGTTTTGATATCTGCTTTCACCAAATATTGAACAATTTTTGCAACAACACATTCGGATTACTAACTCGTCGGATTATCCCATTTTCATATGTTGAAAAACTTGTTGGAAATATGTTTGATAGGGAAATGATCTAGAGCGCTTGTTTTTTTTTGCTTTTGATTTTTCATATTTTGGAAATCGAATACTTTACTCAAAATTTAACCATTGCTGCAAAATTGACAATTTTAGTTTGTTTCTGATCTCATCGCTCTTTGCCATGCATCAAAAAGTTTGAGTTGAATTTCTGTTGATTTAACATTTTATTTTAAGATGCAAAGTTCGGTAAATAGGCTCTTAAAGCTTAGCAAAATAAGGCATTTAAGTTTGTCTTCTGCAAAAGACGTACCACGTCATCAACATTTATAGCTATAAACTTGTTGTAGTTGCATTCTAGCTCTCTTTACATTATATGATACGTTTTGAAATATAAACATGCTGCCATCATTTCCATTCCCTTGAGCAGTATTCCCAATATGACATATAGATATATTTATTTTAATATATACATATAGCGCTTGATACGAACTATACTTTATAGAGATATTTAAGGGTTTCATTATGAAACAAACAACTTTTCATATAAATGGCTTACTTTACTGTTTTATACTTGTCTTCATTTGCTTACTTTTCATCATCCTCTAGCTTTAATGTGCACTGCAAACTAGGGGTTAAACAATGTCCAAAATAATAACAGCTATGCGCTGCAGTACTGCTGCAAAACAATCGAATTTCAACGTAACTCCTAGACTGTAAAGTCTGCCGATCTAATTAAATCAACAGGAAAAATCAAGAACCGCAGTTGAAACATCTTTGCTTGGTTGTAATGAACCACTTGGTTCTTGTAGACCTTCTATTCTCAAGAATATCGTTTTTCATTTTTCTTATGCTCAAAAGGGAGCTTCTTCTGCATTCATTCGGTATTATTTCTCATTTGTGCGAATATTTTAACGCACACAAATGGCTCCCATTGGGTTCGTCATAATTTTTGCATCGTAAAAACATGTTTGTTGTTTTATAATAATCGTACACACTCTTCTCGTGGACGGTGAAAAAAGTGAAACACAAGTCTACACAAGTCGTTTGCTTTTCTTATTTTATGGCATTTAAATGTTACTCGTTGTTACGGTCACAATATAAAAAGTGAAACAAAAACGAATTTAAAGTCAAACTGCAAATGAAGGGTTTCTTATGTAATCTTTTGGATTTTGATTTGGATTTTTTCCCTTTTTGGCAAGTGTCTGATTTTAAGAAGGAAAAAAACTGGTCTGCCACAACATTTTTTTAAGAAAAAGTCCATTTCTACCTAGATGCAATGTTCGAAACAAAATTGCCACAACAACAAAAACAACATGCAAAAAAACACACAAAACGAGAAAAAGTTATTTGTTGCGGTAAAATTTGTCTCAGCCAGAAACCGCAACAACCTTTTTGCTTCTTTGGTACGATAATGATTTGTTGAATAAATGAAAATCTAATTGAAATATTAATGAGAGGGAGACGTGGAACAAGGAACAAATCACAATCGACAATACAGAAAGAATAGTACAGACATCACCTTGAAAAGAAGAAAAGCAATCTCATTTTTTTTGTGTTGTGAAAGTGTTGATACACATAAAGAACAAATGAAATCATCTCATCTTCTCGGTCGTTTGCAGAAATGCGAAACGCGTAAGTTGAGCTGAAAGATATTGCCGTTAGCTCTGAAATGGGGATATCATTGGCAGAGTGAGAGCAGGAGAGAAGGGCAGAGAGCATATCAAATAAAGGAATACTCAAAATGCAAATAAGAAACTAGCCAAGTGGAAAAGGTGAGCTATTGTGAATATGCGCCTAAGCATCGCCAGAATGCGATGAATATTCACCCAAAGTGGTGCTTACACCATTTCTGCCGAGTCTAATGTGCAGTTTTCACGTGTTGGAGAAAAGTCAGCTTGAATTTCCGTTGAACCTGGAATTTGCACACACACACACACAAACAAAATGAAACAAGAAATTTAATCGATATGAAGCTGAGCCGAGAGCAAAGCGTTGTACTGAAAAATGAATCGATCCCATTTAAAGTCACAAACACGAAAAAAAAGTATCATCTATCTCAATGTAGAATGGTCCGATGTCTTTGGATGTATCCTTTACATATATAGAACGCGACCAATGTTCTGATGTCATGCTGATTTGTGTAAATCATTTTCAACGCCAACAGTGCACATAATCCGATAGAGGAGAGTTCACATCTTTTTCAAAATTCCATTATAATTTATAGTTTGTCCAAACTTATATAGAGAAAATGGCTTTGACATCAACGACGAAAAAAAAACTACTTGCTTTTGTTTTATCAGCTGAGAAATTCATAAAGCGCCCGATGTGAAGCAATTCATTCACTCTCACAAGCATGTTAGTCAGCTTGATTCCAAATACACGTCCGTCACACACACATATTTATATAGGTTCTTCATTATTCACATTGTTTCTCTCTATGTCGCACCAAATATTTCACTATTTTTTTCAATCTCTTTCTCTCTGCGCCCCTTCTCTTTCCCATTCTCATGAGCTCTCATATATATCTGTTTTCAACAATAAACCGAATAAGTCTGTGAGGAAAAAAAGAAACATTGTCATCGAGAATTTTTGGATTAGATGAGCTGCTGTTTGTAAGCGCACGCGACTGCATGGAAAAACTTTAGTTTTAGTTGCTTTCAAACTATCACTTCGTATGTGAGTTCGGCTTCATTTTTCTCGTCCGTACTTTTTTTTCGCTATCTCGTCCGTTATTTTTGTTTCTCTCTAAGTTTCATCTCTTTCACCGTGGTGCAAAACGTGAATCCGAAGAAAAATTGGTTTGCACAAAAGTTTTCAAATAACATTGAAAATGAAAAATATGGAAAAATTCAAAACTCTAACAACTCTGTCAAACTAGAGATTGTTTCGAATAATTCGAGCGAAATCCGTTATTTTTTTTTTACTTCGTTATATTGAGATAGTACGCGATAAGACTGACGAAATACGATTAAATCCGATTTTGTAAATCGTTTTAATGCGCATAAAATATTGTTATAGTTCTGTGATGTGCAATGACGACGATGTTAAAATGGTTATTCGTGTGAAACAAATCCATTGTTTGGCTCTAAAGTGATCGAATTTCCGCGCAAAAACTTCGCAAACAATTTTATTTTCAAACTCTGTCACTCACTCGAGCTCACAACAACGTATACATATATGTGAGATATAAACTTTAATGCAGTGCATTGTCCCATAACAATTTCATTTTGACCGGATGCTTTTATATGTTTCGTTGCACGGATAACTGTTACATTGTGAGTGTGTGTTTGCGCTCGATCTTGTTAAGCCCGACGAGAGAAAAAAAAAGAGAACGTACAATACCAAACGACAAATTGCCGCAGAGCTTGAAATCACAAACTAAATTTAAATTGGCACGCTTTGCGCGTGCATTTGATAAAAAGCTTCAGGACTTTTAGGATATTTAAATGCCACGACATTTTGCATAAATATATCAAAATCATTAGCAATATAGTGCGCACATTTTCCATTCGGATCTATATTCCGATTTGTAGTACTTGGAAAATTAATGTTGAAATACACAATGGAATATTGTGTGACACAGAAATGGACCGCATTTAAAATGGTTTCAATAAAATAATACGCAATAACGAGGAGCATGAACACACAAGAACATTTGAATTTCCTCAAACCAAACTGTTATTCATAATAATCAAACAATATTGGAATGTTGATGAACACGCATCTGTTTTGCATTGATATTATTGGATAAATGTCGAATGAACGTAATTTGTGACGCATTCACAAGCGATATGCGGTTGTTTTTAACGATTGAAAATCGGTTAACAAGCTCATCGCCAAACATCGAATCTATATATGCGTGAATGCGTGCACATGTGTCTCTTGTGAGCAAACAAATAATTTCTCATGGTCAGGAAAGTAACATTCAGAATATAGACGATGATGATGCAAATTGATGCATGAAAAATCTCAAGAAATTTTCGTTCGTAGTCGATTGCATTTCCGGGCAAAATCTATTGATAGAAATTGAATGTGTGAGTAGAAATACATTTTACTCTCGGCTGTATAAAGTGGCTTGGCAATCAGTAATTACGCTTATTGATGACCTGTTCCGGATTTTCTGGAGCGTGAACCAACTTGAAATTGTCAGAGGTCATAAAAGACAGTGTGGCTGCAGCCGTTACTGTTCAACGGTTGGTTATTGCTGTTGTTTCTATGTGCGCGCCGAGAATGAAAATACATGAAAAACATCGTGTGCAGAGCTTCATCATTGGTTATCATCATTTAAGAAAAAAAGTTGTTGGATTTTGTTTTTCCTATTCAGCTCATTCTCTATCTCTCTCAATCGCGTGCGCGCTGTCTTTATCAGGCCAAAGTGTAAAACTCATTCAAAATAAAATCCCCGTGCAGTAAATTGTTGACAACATCGACAAATGTAAACTGGGCTTATGGATGCATAAAGTCCCGTCGCTTCGCAATACGACAATACACATAGAGAGATACGGGGGGAGCTATTCGCTATTTCTCGCTCATTCACTATTACATACAATATATTGTAATATTGCATTAGATTCTAATTTTATCGTGGAAATGAATAGAATTGCATGGTATTAAATGTTTTGCATTCAACTGAACTGTTTATCCTCATGTAGCATTTATGTTAACGTTATTGGTGTGTTGCAAATATTGTGCATTTTGGTGCAAATGAGATCGTGCTAGAGTAAGAGAAGAATGTGTGACATGAATGGAAAATTGAACAAAAGAGTGAGCGAATCTGAGTCAGGGTGGTAAAAGAGGGCGCGCGCATGGAAAATCAAGATAGCAGATTTGCAATATAATCGACAAAGTCGTGTAATTCCTTCATTGCATGTAACTGTTGCTTGTGTACTAGCTATCTTTTTTGTTTCATCTTCAATGTAGTTGTGAACAATTTGTGTTTTATATTTTGATTTTGTTGTGTTGTTTTCTGTCTCTCTTTATCCCCTTGTTAATTTTCACTCTCAAAGTCCCAAATCGACATTCACACATTTCTGTTTCGACTCTTTTTAGTTCGCTTTATTTTTCAAACGAACAATTTTCACATCATATATTTTATTCAGTAAAAAAAAAACAAGACCAGAATAATTCGACAGAGGGACGTCACAACGTTCTCTGTGAAATGTTTCGTGCTCATGTTTGTTCGTGTTAATTTTATTTAATGATTAATCTGATGTTGATGCACATCTGCAATTTAATTCCATTTAAATCAATTCATCAGTTTTCATGAAAAGCAACAGCAAAAAAAAATTAATATACATATTCACAACAGCAACACACACACACACACACAAATATGTTTTTAATGTAATTGCATTATGAGAAAATTTGCGCTGTCGTTGAAGCAACAGCAGCGCAACAGCAGCAAATTTGAAATTGGTTTATTTATTATCGTATTTTTAGCTACTAACAACAACAATAATAGTTTGTGATTAGCTTTTGCGTGCACATGCCACACTTGGTGGAGTCTGTGTGTGAGCGTGTGCGGACCGCTTGAATTTGTTTTAAATTCAAAATTTAGCATGCAATCGAATTCATTTGCATTTCACGTTCATCACATCATTTTTTTTTTAGATGAATGTGTATTTTAGTGTGAAAATCGTTAAAAGCAATAATCGAGTAGCGATTGCTTTAATATTAATCAGTTAGAAAAAATGTTTGAGGAATGCAAATGGGTTCGCCAAAAAAAAGTTATTATATTTTTACTTTAATACACCACCACTGACGTACTCATATCTGCTTATTTTCACACATTCTTTATGTTTCGTCATCTCAGCGAATTTTCGTCATTATCATCTGAAAAACAACCGTTTTGCACATACGCCAATTTATAATAATTCATATTTTTTTCGATCTGTATTTTACGCAGCCATGGTGGAGAAGACTTGATTGTGACTCCGTTTGCTCAAATATTGGCCAGTCTTCGTTCAGTACGGAACAATTTTTTAAGCTTGACAAATGTATCAACATCAAAGTAAGTACACTGCATTTCAAACGAATTGGATGATTATTATCATCATTAAAATTCAATCGTTTACGTTGTTTATTGTGTTTTTTTTCTCTTGTTTATGTGCGTAACAGATCAAAGAGGTCAGCTGCCACACCTTTAAGCAAACCAATAGTGCCGGGTGATGAGCAATACGTCCGCTTAGCAATGGACACTATGGAAGAGTTAGACTGGTGTTTAGATCAATTAGAAACAATTCAAACACATCGCAGTGTTTCTGACATGGCATCGCTTAAGGTAAACACACACATATACATCTTTTCGAAGAATATCGCCCGCTCATTGCTAAATTTACACATTTTATATGTGTCAAGTGTCAAAATCATTAGTTGCTTCGCAGGCGATCTTCTTTTCGAATTTAATTCGCATTTTAAAAGGTCAAACTGAACTTCATTCTAAATCCGGATTTAATCTCTTTCACGCGAACAGTTTAAACGAATGCTGAATAAAGAGTTATCACACTTTAGTGAATCAAGTAGATCTGGTAATCAAATCTCAGAATACATTTGTTCAACATTTTTGGGTAAGTACTAATCTCTTTCACATTTTTCTTTCTTCAATTTTTGACAAATTCTCACTTGGAACAAAAACAAATGAGATTCGACGAAAATGATACCCCTGAATATAAAAATGCTCTTCAATATTTCTCTCGCACAACTATTGTCATCGTTTTGTTTTCATTCAACTCTATTTTTATTTCAAAATTCGTTGTAAATTCAAACAGGTTTATATTAATTACAATTACGCACGTCTACATCTCTCTGAGAAGGAAACACATCTTTTATAATAACTGTTTTTCAAATATAAATATAGTACACACTGTACCTGTTATGCGAAATTATTTCTGAAAAAAACAACTTGTATATATCTGAGAGAAGAATCCCACTTAACAAGACGCAGTTTACAAAAAAAATGCTTTTGCGTTGTTACCACTTAAAAATGCGAGTGTTTAAGAAAAGCTGTATTCACGAATCGCAAACGATGCAACCACATTCCAAATGTTTATAGTACGTGAATGTTGTACGTCTGGCGTACTTGCGTCACACACCAAACGAAAAAAATTAGAATATTTTGTATATTCCTGACCGCAAAATGTGTGTGTGTGTGTGTGTCGTCTTTGAGTAACGCACATAAACATCAATTGTTGATTGATGTCAGCAACGATGATAAACAATTTAATTAATGAGTGTCTCTTGGTTATACAGCTGCCATCAAATTCATTAAATTTTCGAAAAATTAAAATTTGCTCCCATTTTGAACATTGTGTCAGCGAATAAAAGCGCTCTTATTTTCTTCAGTTTAATTTTGTTTCTGGCGCGTTGCGTACGACCGTTATTTCTACGTTGTTGAATAGATATTTTTTTGTATGTGTATGTCTTTGAGAAATTATTCCGAGGTTTCATCTTTGTTCCAATTTCAAACGTGGATCTATTTGGTGTCCCTTTTACGGTTCATTGAATTTGTTTTGCGAATGAAAAAAAAAAAAAAACATTAAAATTAATTGCGTTTAATTTGGTTTCAAACATTTTAGACAAGCAACAAGAATTTGATTTGCCATCGCTCCGAATCGATGAAAATGAAATTGCACAATTGAATGCGCAAAAGAATCGAAGCCGATCACCACGTTTTGGTGGACCACCGATGTCACAAATATCAGGTGTAACACGTCCATTGTTATCGCACACCAATTCATTTACGGGTGAACGTTTGCCAACATTTGGTGTTGAAACGCCGCACGAGAATGTATTGGGCACCCTATTAGGCGACATAGACACATGGGGCATTGATATATTTAAAATAAGTGAATTAAGTTGTCTTCGTCCGCTAACATGTGTCGCATACACCGTATTTCAGGTATGTTTTCCAAAACAATATACACCTTTTGCTCGTTGCCATCCACACATATAATGTCTTACAAAATATAGATTACGTGTCGGTGTTCATAAATGTATGTACCGTATCGAGTTGTCTCTAATTTTTTTTTTTTTTTTTTTGAAATTTATTTTTACAGGGTAGAGATTTGTTAACTGCTCTTATGATACCACCGACAACTTTTCTTGCATTCATGGCCACTCTAGAGGATCATTACGTCAAAGACAATCCATTTCATAATTCAATGCATGCGGCCGATGTCACACAAAGCACAAACGTACTGCTAAATACGCCGGCACTTGAGGGCGTTTTCACGCCGCTCGAAATTTGTGGCGCTCTATTTGCTGCCTGCATACATGACGTCGATCATCCCGGTTTAACTAATCAATTTTTAATAAATTCAAGTAAGATAATCATCACCGTTTCGCAAATTAACGCTCTTAATAACATCATCAATTGTTTTTTTATTGCCATTTTAGGTTCCGAACTAGCATTAATGTATAATGACGAATCTGTTTTGGAAAATCATCATTTAGCTGTTGCCTTTAAATTACTCCAAAATCAAGGATGTGATATATTTTGTAATATACAAAAGTAAGTATTGACTACATATATCTCAATCGTTTTTTCATTGATCGCATTATAGCGACGAGTTACTTGCACTGACTCGATGATAATTTAAAATCCCTATATAATTCGATGAGCACGTAAATGTGCGAGCTCGCGTCGAAATATAAGATAAATATGTGGCAAAATCGGCTGAAATCAACCAACCAAAATATTTTTACACACTTTTTTGTTGGAGCTGCTGTCGGTTTTGTTACTTTGACCCATTTGAAACCGCACACATATCATGCTTGGTCGCTCGCGTAAGATAAGCTTCAATATTATTTCGTGATGATGCACAGAAATCGGTGTTTTAATTTAATTTATTCACATGAGCGGTGTCTTCACTTTCAATGCATGTATTCCTGTGTTTACTTCTTTTTTTATCAGCAAAATGCAGCGAACGCATAGATGAATTCAATTCAAAGCACACTCAATCCTTTTGGGGATTTTCCGTTCGCGCGAAAGCAGGAAGCAAGTTAAATGTGTGCCATTCAAAAATAAATCCGCCACATTGACAAGAAAATTACATTTTGCCGGTGTGTCAATCGCGAAATGTGTAAGCATAACATCAGTACTAAATCAATGACGATTTATGCTTACACATTATGGTATTCGATGGCCTTGACAATATGTTAAAGTAAATAAGTTTTATATCAGCTGATATGAAGAATAGTCGAAACAATTTTTTTAAAGATATTTTGTTATTTTCAAGGTATTATCGATTTTCAATCTGCGCTTCATTTCACTAAAGCGGATCTCTCTCTCTCTTGATTTGCTTGTAAACCGCGTATACCAAGCTCAAAAATATTAATCAAATTGCATAGTATCAGGTACCGCCAATCTTAAAAATCCATGAAAGTCGTATAAGTCCCGCATGAATTTAACATTATTTTGTAGAAAATTCAGTGTAGATTTTCCCACCACGAATGGCGTAATTCGATTTTGGATTTGGTGTTGATTATTATTTGAAGCGAGTTTAGTTGAATGCGATGAAATTAGTCATTTTAATTGCAACATCCATTGAGCTATTTTATTTTGTGAATGCATTACATTTTACGACGTCAGTTTGGCTATTTAGCTATAAATTCTCGAATACGAGCATCGAATATTCGATCCGATTAATGCTTGTTCGAAATATAATTACTTATTGAGGATGCTCAATACATCGATACGAACAAAACGTATTTTGGTTTTTGGTTAGTTTAAACTCTGTTACAAGATGTTATTGAACGTAACATTGTGTCAATATTGGATCAATATTGCTGCTGGCAAAAAATGAGCATCTGCTTTGAATATATACAATGTATCGTCATGACGCACTCGATAGCAAATCCTGTCGATTCCATTGAGAGAGGGAATGCGGTTTACTGGGGGAGTGTGCGATTTTTTTGCATGTAAATTTATTCAATTCTTTGAATTTCATTGTAAACTCAACTAAAACATGTTTCGATGTGGCATTTTAAAATATACCAAACCAATATATTTTCCATGGAGCAAGATACAGAGAGGAAGGAGATCCTTTTTCCACATTAATCCCGGTTTTATGTTCAAACTCACCACACGATTAATTAAATAAAACGTTGGTTGTGACCAATGAAAATTAATTGATTTGAAAATCATTCGATTGAAAATAATGACGACAGTGAATCGTATCCGAGAATAATAATAAGGTTGGTCCAACATCCCGGCTAGTGGTATTTTGCACATGTAAAATGTGCTGCTGTCTGCAATATCAGCACTGGCCCTTTCGGCCCATATTAATATTTGATTTCTAATCCAATAATCACCATACTATCTTTGCCTATTGAAAATTGCGAATGATTGCATTTTCATGTCGGACGGTGAATTTTGCCGCCAGTAATTTATTGTACAGAGTATACGGAGGTGTTTGTATTTATAGTAGTTTATTTCTCGACCCCATGACCACCGTCAGTGTTCCACTGATGCAAACTTTTAAAAACAAAACTCATTAAAGAAACTCACAGTCGAACACATGCAAACAATGCTAAACATAGATAATTAAATGTAATAAATTTTCGAATGAAATGGTTTTTGTGTAATAAATATTTGTTTTAATGTTATCCATTTTCCGTCTCTGCGTCTTTGTAATAGAAAACAACGTCAAACGTGCCGCAAAATGGTTATCGATATTGTTTTATCAACGGATATGTCTAAACATATGAGTCTGCTAGCTGATCTGAAGACGATGGTGGAAACGAAAAAGGTGGCTGGTTCGGGCGTACTTTTATTAGATAATTACACAGATAGAATTCAGGTAAGAAAACATTTTGGCACTCCAAAAGAAAAAGAAGAAGAAAGTTGAAAGAAAAGACTAATTTCAATTTAAAAATTAGGTGTTAGAGAATTTGGTACATTGTGCCGATTTGAGTAATCCGACAAAGCCGTTACCATTGTACAAACGATGGGTGAGTTTGCTCATGGAGGAATTCTTTTTGCAAGGTGACAAAGAGCGTGAAAATGGCATGGATATTAGCCCAATGTGTGATCGTCACAATGCAACAATTGAAAAGTCTCAAGTTGGATTCATTGATTATATTGTGCATCCGTTATGGGAAACATGGGCCGATTTAGTCCATCCCGATGCCCAAGACATTTTAGATATGCTCGAAGAAAATCGTGACTATTATCAAAGTATGATACCACCATCACCGCCACAAACTGACGAAGATATAGCTGACGACCGTATTCGCTTCCAGGTAAATTCAATTGATACCAATTTAATGTGACGCGACAAAATTTATCGACATTTCTTTGATCGATCGAACTTGGATGCGATTTCTGATTTTAGTAAACTCATTTTTCTGGCTGGCTTACAGATAACCGTTGAAGAATCGGACAATGAAAATGACGACGACGACGACAATGATGACGACGACGGTAATGGTGATGACGAGGCAACAGCAACGACAGCTGGTACAAGCAAAGATGCTGGCAAACCATCAACAAGTCAAAATCAAACGACACACACAGGAATGTGACGGAGAGTAGTTGGATTATGTCGTAAGCTCACTGAAAAAGCGCATACATTTTTACTAATCAGATGAGATAAAAAATAAAATTGAGAGAGAGAGAGAGAAAGAGAAATTAAACATAAATAACGCGCCACCACCGCAACTACACTTCACTACCGTCTGGTTCACTTCTCAAAAATCATATCCGGAGAAAACACCTCCATTTATATACATTTTACAGAAATACACACCAGAAACAATTTTCATTTCATCCATCACAAAAGCATGCAAAAATCGATTTATAAAATCATCGGCACAGAAACAACGGTATATTCTAAATGAACATGTTAATTTTAACTGACATTTTTCTTTCTTTTCACATCCATCGTCAATCAGACCCCCACTTCCTCTCAAACAAAAAAGTTTATTTTCTAATTTTTAACCGAAAAAAAGGAATTTGTTTGATTTTATTCGAGAAGAAAAATGAGTGAGCGTGTTTTTTTGTTTTAAACTAATTTACTTCGTGAAATCTGGAGTGCTAACATTTTTTTAGATACAAATATTAATGAAAAAAAATTACAAGAAAAAAAGTATGTGCTATGAAAAAAACTCAAAAAGAATAAAAAGAATTGTAAATTAGAATTTTTATGACGGTTACGAAAAATACTGTGAAAGAAAGAAAGGAAAACAAAAAATTATAAAAGAATTAACTATATTGACACTTAGGTAAATTATATGAAAAAAAAAACAACAACCACTAAATTTATGCAGAAGAAAAGAATCTGCGACACGACTTTTCTCTCAAGTTCGAGTTTTTGTGTGATGTAATATGAAAAGATAAAAAGAATCCAGCAACCCAAACAAATCAATTGTAAAATTGCACATTGACAGAGAAACATCTCTTATATTTCCAACAATTAAAGAAGAAAAAAAAACAAAATAAAACAATTATATGAAGATAACACAACAAAAAACACACACACATTAATGTATTGAAAAATCGTAATTAACTAATTTAAATTCTAGCAAATAATGAACTTGGTGTGCATAGAACATTATGTATCATAAGTATCTAAATTTAACAACAATAGAATCAACAAAAAAAACAATTTAAATCATAGGTACTGAAATTGTATATTAATATTTATTTTTAAAAAACAAAATTGAACAGAAAAAAAAATTACCAAATTTACTTTCAACAAAAGAGCATGCAGAAGTCGTTGCACGCGATTGCTATTGCGTGACGATTTTTTAATGAAAACTTGAACAATTCAGTTCATTTTTTCTTAGCCAATATATCTTTGTGTTCCAATTTGAATTTAATGTCGAAAGTGAAAGAGAAAGAGAGAGAGAAACTAAGAAAGAGAGAGTTGGGGAGAGTATCGAATTTCAATAGTGAAAATCATTGAATCGATAAGCGAGAGTCAATGATTGAAATTGATGTCAGATCTGTAATACGCACGAATAAGTGAATGTGATTGGACAGTTGGATTGTATGATTTTCAAATTGGCTGCGGTTGGGACTTTTGTTATCTTCATTGAAAGTAAATCAAAGATAAAAAGAATAATCATTGTAAAAAAATATACCACAAAAAATGAGCTTCTTTATATTTATGTGTACAACTAATGAAAAGTTTAAATTAGACGAAATAATGAATGGAAGCATAGGGACGCCTCGTCACTTATTTGTCGTGATAAAATAATAATAATAATAATAGACAGACACTAGCGTACGCGCGCACATACCGCCAACCTTTCAAACAAACAAAATGAATCCCTTGAAACATCCAACATTAAAACCTTACCATCAAATCGCCCACAAGCATTTTAAATAAGAATACATTTTTAATGAAACATTTAATCATAATAAACATTTTTTGCCCAGATGAAGACACAACAACGTGCTTGTTACATAAAAAAACATAGTTCAATGTGTAGATTCCAAGTAGATCAAAATCGTATTTAAAATCCTGCATATAAATCATATAAACCAGTGTTAAATGTGCATCGGCTTTGAAAAGAGAAACATTTCTAGAATCTAAACAATGTAAAATTAGCCATCGTTTTAACCGTAGAAAATACAAAATATTTGCTTGGACCACCAACAAACTACAAGAGAACATCACTTATTTCAATGAATCGCTAAACTGATATAAATACATAGTACATAATATTTATTAGCTGTCGTGGCTATATGAAAACAAATTTCGGGGACCGTCGCAATCCACATGTTTTTTTCTCACATTCTGAATGTTCAAAACCGACGATTTTCTTATGTAAAAATCGACACAATACAATCTCGATATACCATCATAATTTATTATTCTTCAACTCGACCACTCAAATTTAACTCACTTGAATCACACACACAAATACAATTAATAGTCGCCATACGATAATTCGCGCCCGTTATTCCCGCCATTATTTCATACCAAACGCAGTGTTTTCTATATTATTAATTCATCACTTATCATCTTCTGTTCTTCTGACACTCTATTCTCTTTTTTTAAATACATTTCTTCCTCGTGCATTCAAACTGAAACCTTTTTCTACAAAATCCCATTGCACACCAAACACAATATCTTACTAGAAATCTATTTATTAAACTGAAAACAATTGAATATTATTTATGCGCACGAACATTTGACGTGAAACCAAACAAAAACAAATTTGCAACAAAAAAAAAAGATGAAAAAATATAATATTTATCGTATAACATAAAAACCAGTAGAATATCATACATCAAAGATGAGTAAAATGTGCGACGGGCGGCGACTGTACGTTTGCTCATTTTGTCGCACCTTTTGTTTTTCTTTTGCTGGATATGAAGAAAAATTCATTAAATAAAAAAAACACACACAATATTTAATTATATTTAAAGCATAAATATTCAATCAATATACATACAACAACAACAAATGAAGAAAAAATAATGAATATTATTATGATGTAAAATGTAAATGTATAGATAAATTTATTTGGTTGTGACGCTGGCGTCACAATATTTCTACAAAAAAATATATATTCTAACAGCAGCATACAAAGCAAATGATATAAAAAGCGAGAGAAAATATATTTTTTTTTATTTAGTTTTTGTGCCGTTATTTTATTCTGTTTTTGAAAAAGATTTTAATATCAAATGCCACACAATATTATAAAACAGGAAAATAAAAAAAATTAATTAAAAAAGATACTGTGAATGTAGCGAAAGATTTAACCAAAAAAAAAAAAATCACAAAACAGGAACACAACGTTTTTTTTGTTCCAAAATGTTCTTATTTATTTTCCCATTTTTTGATGATGGTGAACATGTTGAAAAAACAAACACACATACAAATTGATATTTGGTGTCTAAAACCACATAATAAAATAGTTGAAATGCACATTAGGTGACGAAAACAACAACAACAAACATATTTGTCAAACAAGAGATAAAAAAATAACGCCAAAAACATACTAATTTACATGGATTGAAAAAAAAAAACATAAACAAAGTTAGAGCAAGCATTGCATGTCTCGAGAGTAAACCAAAAATGAATATCTAATATTTAAAATAAACCAACAATTTAGAATAGAGGCGTGTAGTTTTAATTCAACAAAGAGAAAAAAAAACCAAGCTATTTGTAATAAATGTGTAAAAAATAAGAATTTCTTTTTAATTTCGATCGCATAAGCGTATTTTCGTGATGCGCATGCTCGATCGAATATATGCCCAAATACAAAATACCATCCACATCAACTGAACTAGTAGAATTGGATTTCGATTAGAAAAAACATATTCGATCGCCGTATACTTTGCGCTTAGTGCTTAGTGAGGGCATATCCGATGCGCAAAATAACATTTTTATTTAGTCGAAGAACAAAGCGAGATGTGTAAATGTTTTTTTTCTTTTTAAGAAATAATATCGATCGTCATTTTTCGACCAATTCCACATTTTTAATTTATGACAAATACACGGGTTCTTCCGCACCACATCTCAAAACTTCTAAATTTCAAACTCATTTTTCTTTTCTTCGTTTTTTTTTTCATTTCCTTTCGAAAACTCATGTGATTGAGAGAAAAAAAATCAACTGTTTTTTCGATTTCAATTGTATTTTCTTTAATGAATTCGAAATCGCCTGGACTGTAATAAGAATAGTCTTTAAAATGGCTAGATAAATATTATTAAAAAAAACGCTTATTTAGATATGAATTTCTTTGTGAATATTGTACATTTTGAAGAAACAAAAAAAAACCTGACGTCTTCTCAGTCAACCTCACCAAAAATCTGTCTGAAAACTGACTTTAGATAAATTGTGAGAATTATTGTTATTTTGGAATTTAAACACTTTTCGAAACTATACAAAAGTTCAGCCGGCTCTTTTCATTGAATGAAGAACAAAAGCAACAACAAAATCTAAATCTTTTGATTTAAAAATGATAAAATGTTTACCTGAACGTGGACAAAATTATTACGCTGATATATTGAACTAACTGAAACTAAAATTCATTTGCTACCATTTTTAGTCTGTAGTGCATAATTCCATATCACGACTAAAACACTTTAAAGGGAATAGAATTACATGGAAACGAGAAAATCGTTATAAAATAATAACAAATTAAATCATCGGCAAAATTGGCCAAATCACATTGTTTTCCCCATTTTCAAATGACAATTTCTTACCTTTATCATCAGTTCAGTTTACTATACTTTTCCTCATTTCAAAATTGTCTCTTAATTGATAAAGAACGGCTCAGGCAATATATTGAATTAACCGGTCAGTTGAGCTGACAGTACGTTAGCCAGCTAGATGGGCTAAAACAATAGACGTTATTGTTTTAATGATGAATCACTTTTCTTGTTTTAATAGAAGTGATTGTTCATTAAAACAATAACTTCTATTGTTTTAGTCCTTTTAGCTGGCTAACGTACTGTCAGCTCAAATGACCAGTTAGTTCAATATATTGTCTGGAACGGCTAAAGAAATTGTACATATTTTTTTTTTGTTCTTTTTAATCTTTTCATAATAATATGAATTGTCATGATGATAAATTTTATTGCCAAAAATTCGCTTTTTTCCTTCAAAAAAAGAGCCTTCTTTTAATTAGTTTTACCAAGTTTTCTATTTTTTTTTTGTCGGAACTATTTTGAAAAAAAAAAAACAACATTATTGCCCACATGGTTTTAGTCGAACAGTAGCAATGGTGAAACATGTTCTAGGAAAATGAATAAACCAAATATTTGAAAAATTACCTGAGATATCATGCTATAAATGAAAAAAAAAGACTATTTTAAAAAGTTTTTTTTGTTCGTCTCTTGAGATCTTTCCTGCTGTGAACTCGTAATGCAAAATGTATAACCAAATTAAATTAAATTCGAACGAGATCCATGGAAGATGGTAAAATTTAATATTATATACGCAAAATTTGACCGAACACATAAAAAACCATGAATTTCTTTACTACTCATCAATACTTAGTGATAAAGTTAATTGAAAAGAAAACTACATTGTTAAATAACAAGAAAAAACACTCATACACATGCAAAAACAATGGAAGATATACATATGCAAAAAAAAAAAAAATGAAAAACCTTATAAATGGAAAATAAGATGAATAATATGTTTGTTTAAATTATTAACTTTCAAATAAAAAAATGTTGTTTTTATTTCGGAATCGGGACTTGAAGGCATTTCAAGAGCTACGCAGCGTGAACGATGACAAGGCAAGTATGTCAAAATTGTTTGTATCTCTAAAAGGTTTGTATTCTCAATGGAAGAATGCTTCTTTGTTTTTGATATTGTTTATAAAAAAAAAGTCAATTGTTTTTCAGAAATGCATGAAAAGTTCACCGAGGTATCGAATATAATGATTTTTCAGTGAAGTCTCTGAATAAAAATTTATGAATTCTATTATATATTAAAGCTATAAAGTTCATTCCGTGATGATCGACTCATTTGTGAGTCATCGACAAATAGAGTTGTGCGTAAAAAGGGCGTTTAAGAAGTTTATTATTGTTGCACACAAATACATGTATCTATAAAATTTGTAAACATTTTTTAAAAACTTACTGGAACAGACATTTTTTACGCCCTCTTCGTGTAGCGTTTCCGTTGGCTCCCTTTTATACGATGATTTTGTATTATTCTAACCAGTAAGCGCCCAAAAGCTTCAAGGGGGTAGACATGATTCAAATGATTCGTTGTAATTCATTTGTGATTTGAATGATTTGAATCTATTTGACAAGTGACTTTACAATACTAAAACAAAGCATAAAATTCTATATCAATATTTGTTTTTTTTTTTAAGCAAGCAAAAACCTTTTTTAATTAAAAAAATCAAGTATATTTCGTTTATAGTTAAAACACATTTCGAAAATATTAAATCTCTTTATTCTTTAACTTGATTTTTTTTTTTTTTTGATATAACATGCATGCAAACATCGATAGTCAACTTCACTGTAAAGTGTCACACGAACTGTCAAGCGGTGATTTGAAATGATTCGAAAAAATTCAAAATGATTTGAAATATTTATAATTTACTCGCAATAATTTAAAGAGATTTATTTTTTTCGTATAGATTTGTTCTTTTGGATTGCGTGTCTACCCCCTAGAAAAGCTTATAATAATACAAATTATTTTACTTACGAATTGGCCACATATAAAACACATTGAAATAGCGTGACTTGGTCAACAACAAATTTTAGATGATATGTTATTGTTGAATATATTTAATGAGATTAATTCGTTTAAATGTGTCACTCGGAAAGATTGGAAGCCAAAACCACGAAGTTGAAAATAAAAGATTAAAAGACACGAAACTAAGACAATGTACGTTCTTTGGTTGTTTCATTCAAATGAATAGAATTCGATATAATTTTTAGAGAATCTTTCGTGCAATTAATTGTTCAAGGGTGATTCTATACCGAACAAAGCACTATACACCCAACATTTACTTTGTGCTAATGTTCTCTTACAAATGACATCTAATGTAAAATGAAATGTTCAAAATCAACAGTCATGATGATCGATCTGATGTAGGTTGCGGAATCACATTCACAGTGATACATTCAATATGAAAACGAAATAACTATGCCGTCGCTCAAAATAACAATTAGCCTTTGACAAATGAGTGACAGTTCCGCATAGATTTTAACGGCATCGTTAGATTATCTAGTGGCAATCTTATAAATTGTTAGTAAAAAACAAAGAGAAGAATTCAACTTTTTGATATAACGTCAATTCAGATGAAAATGTGTCAATCATGCTGAAGTTTTAAAAATTCCACGAAAAAACAATGAGATTGAATTAATTCATTCCGCTTCATTCATCAACGTACAAAGTATAGATATTTGTATATGCGTTTTATTTGGATATAAAAATTTATTGCATCTATTTTATGTCTAAATCGATAGGCTATTTAATTATTATAATAAACTTCATTTACGTTAAACTGTTAAAACTTTATTAAGTTGTTGGCATTTTGCACTTGACATTTTGCACGCATATCAAACTTCGTATCAAAGATCGAAAAGCACAATAAATAATTGAAGTTTGATCATTGAACATTATGGTTTAATAGGTGAGAGAAACTGATAAATATGAACGGAACGATTAGCTTTTCCACAGTAGGTAAAATGATTTCAAGTGGTTAAGAGGTGGTTATATGGGAAAAGTTCTCTTTGATTGTGAATAAATTGGATGTTATTCAGTGGTAATTGTTTGTGAAAAAATGGCTATTTTAACTGATACCTGGACCATTGATGTCTTAACTGTTTTATTTGGTGCATTTGCATTGGTGTATTTATTGGTCAAGCGAACGTATTCGTACTGGGAACGAAATGGATTTAAAACGTTAGACGGATACAATATGCTTTTTGGACATTTCCAAGGGTTAATATTTCGCAAAGAATTTGTCGGCAGCCTTTTAAAGCGATTGTATAACAGTACAAGTGAACCATTCATTGGAATCTATAGCATTCTCCGTCCAATATTATTGATACGTGATTCCGAGCTAATTCGTACGATTTTAATCAAAGATTTCAATCATTTTACGGATCGTGGCATTTATTGCAATGAAGAAAATGATCCATTGTCAGTTCACTTATTCTCTGTACCCGGCAAAAAGTGGAAAAACCTCCGAACGAAGCTAACACCAGCCTTTACATCTGGCAAAATGAAAGCGATGTTTTCAACTCTGCTCAATTGTGGGTCGGAGTTGGAAAATCATCTAAATAATTTGGTCGACAATGGGAAGGTATTGAATGCACGAGAACTTGCAAGTTGTTTTACGACAAATGTTACCGCATCAGTGGGATTTGGTTTGGACGTGGATGCAATCAAAAATCCGGATAATGAATTTCGAATTTGTGGCCGTGAAATTTTCAGCTCAAATCTCATGAATATAATTCGTCATCTATTATTTATCAATTCGCCAAAAATAATGCAATCGATTGGAATGAAAACGGCACAACCAAGCGTGGAGAATTTTATACGATCGGTTGCCCACCAAAATATAGAATACCGTGAAAAAAATAATGTGAGCCGCAAAGACATTTTTCAATTATTAATTCAGTTACGAAATACAGGCAGCGTAAATGAGTCGGACGATAAATGGGATGTGATCAAATCAAACGAAAATCAAATGAAGTTTACATTGGATGAAATCTCAGCACATGCATACCTTTTCTTTATTGCTGGCTTTGAGACATCTTCAACCACATTATCGTTTTGTTTGTATGAATTGGCGAAAAATGTAGATATTCAGCAACGCGTTCACGATGAAATCGACGCGGCTGTACGGAAGCACGATGGTCATTTGACATACGAAACACTTACCGAGTTAAAATATTTGGACACCTGCATTGATGGTATTTTTTTTTTCGGATCTGTTTTCTTTTTTTTTCATTTGTAATTAATTCGTTGCTATTTTATTCTTTATCACATGTACCATAGAAACGCTCCGGAAATATCCCCCGTTATCACTCTTGCCTCGTTCTTGTGTAAAAGACTATCAGATTCCCGGCACTAATAAAGTGATTAAAAAAGGTGTACAACTATTTATTCCAGTGCTTGGACTCGAAATGGATGCAAAATTCTACGAAGAACCAGAAAAATTCATTCCGGACCGATTCAATGAGGAAAATTCAGTTGGAAAGAATTTGATTAATCGACCATATCTTCCGTTTGGTGCAGGACCGCGAAATTGTATCGGACTTAAATTGGGGCTATTACAAATAAAAGTCGGACTCGTTATGATGCTAAAAAAATTCCGTTTCGAATTATCCGATCAGCATAAAAACACTGACATGAAATTCGATCCGAAATTTTTCTTCATGGCTCCACTTGATGGAATTCATCTAAAAGTTTTTAAGCGATAAACACGATAAATTTGATGTGGTAAAATTCAAAATATTTTCTAACATTATTTTTCATTTTTTATTTTTGGTAATAAAAAATCTTTGCAACTATACAACCGTATTTTTTTTCTCAAACATTTGATTAATTACGATTAATTTAGTGAACAAAAATTTTAATTCTAAAGGCCCCATATCCGTTTGCATACATTTTGGCAAAGGCTGCAATGCATCATAGCAAACAGATGAAAGAGAAAAAAAAGAATAAGACGCTAGACAAGAAGCGTACACAGACACACAGTACACACTTGTATTTCTTCGTATCTCGCTCCGTATTCTATTTCGTGTTTTCGTCAGAGCGAACAGTGCAATTTGAGTGCTTGGGTAGTCGTGTAAACGATTTTTTGAAATTCTGTTTTACATATTATACATATTGTATATGTGATGAAATCTATCGAAAATATATGTAATACTGCCTATTCGTGATTCACGAATCGGTATTAAATTGCTGTATAATTCTAATAGAGTATGTATGTATTTTTTCCGTAACACTGAAAAAAAACAACGAATCAAAATTAAAGTATAAGATGATGCGAAACAGAGGAAGTTCTCGAAAAGTCACACGTCATAGTATTTAATATATGACAGTTAAATATGAACGGAACGGTTCGCTTTCGACACAGTAGGTAAAATGATTTCAAGTGGTTAAGAGGTGGTTATATGGGAAAAATTCTCTTTGATTGTGAATAAATTGGATGTTATTCAGTGGTAATTGTTTGTGAAAAAATGGCTATTTTAACTGATACCTGGACCATTGATGTCTTGACTGTTTTATTTGGTGCATTTGCATTGGTGTATTTATTGGTAAAACGAACGTATTCGTACTGGGAACGAAATGGATTTAAAACGTTAGACGGATACAATATGCTTTTTGGACATTTCCAAGAGATAATATTTCGCAAAGAATTTGTCGGCAGCCTTGTAAAGCGACTCTATGACAGTACAAGTGAACCATTCATTGGAATCTATAGCATTCTCCGTCCAATATTATTGGTACGTGATCCCGAGATAATTCGTATGATTTTAATCAAAGATTTCAATCATTTTACGGATCGTGGCGTTTATTGCAATACAGAAAATGATCCATTGTCAGGTCACTTATTCGCTCTACCCGGACAAAAGTGGAAAAACCTCCGAACGAAGCTAACACCAGCTTTTACCTCTGGCAAAATGAAAGCGATGTTTTCAACTCTGCTCAATTGTGGTTCAGAGTTGGAAAATTATCTAAATAATTTAGTCGACAATGGGAAGGTATTGAATGCACGAGAAATTGCAAGTTGTTTTACGACAAATGTTACCGCATCGGTGGGATTTGGTTTGGACGTGGATGCAATCAAAAATCCGGATAATGAATTTCGAATTTGTGGCCGTGAAATTTTCAGCTCAAATATCATAAATGTAATTCGTCATCTATTATTTTTCAATTCGCCGAAAATAATGCAATCGATTGGAATGAAAACGGCACAACCAAGTGTGGAGAATTTTATACGATCGGTTGCCTACCAAAATGTAGAATATCGTGAAAAAAATAATGTGAGCCGCAAAGACATTTTTCAATTATTAATTCAGTTACGAAATACAGGCAGCGTAAATGAGTCGGACGATAAGTGGGATGTGATCAAATCGAGCGAAAATCAAATGAAGTTTACATTGGATGAAATCTCAGCACAGGCATTCCTTTTCTTTATTGCTGGCTTTGAGACATCTTCAACCACATTATCGTTTTGTTTGTATGAATTGGCGAAAAATGTAGATATTCAGCAACGCGTTCACGATGAAATCGACGCGGCTGTACGGAAGCACGATGGTCATTTGACATACGAAACACTTACCGAGTTAAAATATTTGGACACCTGCATTGATGGTATTTTTTTTTCGGATCTGTTTCCTTTTTTTTCATTTGTAGTTAATTCGTTGCTATTTTATTCTTTGTCACATGTACCATAGAAACGCTCCGGAAATATCCCTCGTTATCACTCTTGCCTCGTTCTTGTGTAAAAGACTATCAGATTCCCGGCACTAATAAAGTGATTAAAAAAGGTGTACAACTATATATTCCAGTGCTTGGACTCGGAATGGATGCAAAATACTACGAAGAACCAGAAAAATTCATTCCGGACCGATTCAATGAGGAAAATTCAGTTGGGAAGAATTTGATTAATCGACCATATCTTCCGTTTGGTGCAGGACCGCGGAATTGCATCGGACTTAAATTGGGGCTATTACAAACAAAAGTCGGACTCGTTATGATGCTAAAAAAATTTCGCTTCGAATTGTCCGATCTCCACAATAAAAACACTGAAATGAAATTCGATCCGAAATTTTTCTTCATGGCTCCACTTGATGGAATTCATCTTAAAGTTTTTAAGCGATAAACACAATAAATTTGATCTGTCAGACATTCAAGAATAACCTTGCATATTTTTTAACATTTCTTGTAAATTTTAAATGTTTGGTTATAATGAATCTCTGCAACTACACAATGATTAATTATGATTAATTTAGTAAAATAAAGTTAATGCATCATCTGAAGCATGACAGCATACCAACAAATTATGGTATTAAATAAGTGAAATAATATAGATGTAAAAAAGCAGGAACGACAAAAATGTGTCAAAGTAAATTCTGACATAGCAACCATAACTGATAAATTGAAATTTTTTAAGTTTTTTTCTCTTGAAATTTTGCATTAGAATATCATATAACGTTCATGTTATATGGCATAGATAAATAATAGAAAAAAGCAATTAGAAAATCTTTGAAGTGAAATCAAGTTTTTTGATCAACCAATTTCGAAACGATGTAGACAACATTTAAATCTGTTGACGTCAGAACACGCCTGGAATATTGATAATCCATATGTTTTACGATAAGTAAATCCATATGTTTAATGATGAATAAATTGCAGACGTTGTACTGAGACATTTTCAGACAGCTGAAATATCTTATCTGGCTGAACTCAGCAGTTCATTTAAAAAAAAAATCAAAAAATATTTCTTTCTACCCCCATACTTTTATCTCTTTACTCTTTCAGTACGTACAGAATACAGATAGGTTCAACCAAATTCTATTTGTTGTATGATATATTGCCAATCCAACAGGTATGTATATTGACCTTCAAATTTCGGCACGTTTTTTTCTCGTTGCCTCTATTCTGTTTTGCCAAAATTGCTTTTGACACGTGTAAAGTCGAAATCTTTCAATTTCATCTTATCCGCCGTTTCTGCTTTCCATAAATTACCATATACGTATTGATTTGTTTTTAAAGATTGGGATTAAACAGTTCTGATTAATAATAACTGAACAGTAGAAGCGTTTCTGCGCTTGGGGAACTACTAATTAAGATTACATGGAGAATACAAACATTGTAATAAAAAATCAAATCAAATTCGTATTTATAAAAAACAACAACAATTTACAATGTCCGACGAACCTAATTCTTCGTCGTAACTTTGCATCTTCATCAAAGGTTTTCAACCAGTATAGATAAGAATCGGCATCAAGACACATCTTTAGAAACAATATTTTCAAATTGGAAAATGTGATATTTGATCGGTGAAATATTACTTTTCCGCACACACCTAGTGTGTAAGGTAAAGTATTGGAATCGGTCGAAAAATTAACACCCTCAAAAAACATGTTTTCTGGGTGTTTTAGGAGCCAGGGAACACAAGTCCAGCGTTTTTTTGATGTCCGAATGTATGTGCGTGGTACCCTGTACGCTGTACGCAAAAATTTGTTAACACGATAACTTTCAAACAAGAAAATTAATTCAAAATCTGACTTCACAGGATGATTGGGGGTGCCGAGGAATAGAAACCATTAGATTTTGAGCGACTTTGGTTGACAGAGTGAAGTGTCATGTCTGGTGTGATGCCCCTGGCCATCCACACAGAAAGAAAAAATGTGGTATTTTTAATTCAATTTTGGTAGATTTAATATAAAATCTACCAACAAGGAATTAAATTTACCATTTTTGACATCTCTGCGGCATATCTTTCAAAAGTGACTATTTGTTGAACAAGTTTTACCAACTTTTCGAAACCACAGATGACGCTAGCGCATGAATATGGTGAATGTAATGAAGCAATTGGTAAAACTTATTCAACTGATAGTCTCTTTTGATTCGTTGTTGGTAGATTTTATATTAAATCCACCAAAATTGAATTAAAAATACCACTTTTTTTCTTTATTTTCATGGGAAAAATTCAATTTTTCTTCCAAAAGTGATATTGAATGTATACTTAAACACTCAAAAAAGTGTACTTGGGGGTTTTTGGGTACGAGAAAACCGAATATGACATTAGTTTTGCGATACAAATAATTTTCGACACACTTTTCATACAAAAATGTCAAAAAAATTGAATTTATGCATGGAAGCCATGCCTGTATGATATCGTAATGAGCTGAAACTTTGCACAGGTTATTTTTATCACACAAAAATGTCATTCCGAGAGTTTGAAGACATTTCAACGTATATTAGGGGTACCTCCCGAACAAAATTTTGGATTTTTCGCTCAAAAACGAAATTTTGTATGGGAAGTACCCTTAATATGCATTGAAATTTCTTCAAACTTTCAGAATGTTAACTTTTTGTGAAAAAAATAACCTCTGCAAATTTTCACATGATTACGATATCATATAGGCATGGTTGCGATACAAAAATTCTTATTTTTAGTAGTTTTTGTATGAAAAGTGCTTCGAAAATTATTTGTATCGTAAAACTAATGTCAGATTCAGTTTTCTCGTGAATTCTTTGAGTAAAAGATTTGTAATAAATGCATGTTGTGGATCACAGTGCGGAAAAGTTCATCTTACGGATGTAAGACATTTTATTTAACTCTGAATTTTTATGTGTTATATAGATTATAGAAATTAAAACAGTGAACACAATCGATATCTGCTACTCCGAAGTCGAAAAGGCTGGTAGCTGGGTATACGATCGGGTGGTGTTTCATTGTGAACGATATTGTACAAATTTTGTGATAAATTCAGTCTGTGATCAGACGGTGAATAAATAAATACACTGCCAGTTTTTGGCCGTAGAGCTTAATGTGAAAAGTGGAACCGTACTATTAATATTTTGAATTTTTGAGTGAAGAGTTACAATTTTTTTAAAATTAATTACACCTTGAAAATTGACTTTGCTAATATTTTCCTCACATTGCCTCAACGGCTACCTATGCACTGCCACTTCAAAAAGTTGGTAAACCCTATAATTTATATACCATTCAAAAGGTAATTTTATAAGGAATCTAAAACAATTTGGTGCGACAGGTGACTCCAACTTTTTTTCAACAAGTTTCATCTAGATCCAAAGTAATCAAATTAACACTAGAGTAAAACTCATTTATTCCATCTTTTATCCACCCAATAAAGTTGCAGAGAAACGTTATTCCACCCGAATCCATTCGTTATCCACTCAATAAATGGTGAGTGGAATCGAAATATTTTTCAAAGTGGTATCCAAAAAAGAGGGTCCATGAATGAAAAAATTAAATGGGGAGCACTTATGGGGAAAATAAAAAACATGTCTGGAGGGTTTTTTATGCCCTATCGAATGCCGAAAACCCGAACTCTCTATCTTTTCTGGTTTTCTCTAAAATCACTGAACAAACATATATATATATATATATATATCTTACTATTCCATAGCTTAATGTATAAAACTATGTTTCACATTAAGCAATAAAAAATAAATAAGAGGTAGGCATACGCAATGCGGTACATATCAATTCTGTTCAACATATCGGTAATTTCGACGCTGTGAATTCAATGAAACGTTCATGCAGGCGATAAAGACTGCCGCTAGTCTACATATATCTTCTGCTCATTCTCATTTATATTGCTTGCGGAACCTTGGTTTCTATAAACTTTAATTTTAAATTTGGATGCAAATTCAGACACGTGCGTCTCTAAAATGGGAAATAAATACTCTCAATCACTTGATGCGGCGGTTGACGACTAGACATGAGATCGAATAATTTATTCACACATTTATTCATCATTTCTCTATCTACATCTGCTATTTATGTTTGAAAAACACTAATAGACCAAGAAAAGATATGCAAATTTTGTATTTTGTGACAAAAATAAATATATCGGTTACGTATAATATTCTAAAATTAAGAATATTATTTTAAAAATCGATTAAGAATTGATGATTTTTATCGTTCAACTACAAGACGCAAGTACATAGAATATGTGAACTTTGCTGATAATGTGATAACAAAAAAGAGTTAAAAAATCGATGGAACAAAATGATTTATAAATCGCGGTTCCTCGATTCGAGCCTGTATTTTATTGTTTTTGCAATAAAATAGATACGATATCAAGACTACAATTACAAGATTACATGCGTTCAATTGATTTCGATTGATATTTTGACCACAGTTAGATGTCTTTATTCAATCGGATAAGATAAAGTGAATTGAAGTAAAAGTCACTAAAAATGATTGAAAATTGGAAATTTATAGTTTTTTCTCACTTGTTTGTGGCACTAACGGTAGTTTATTTGTTTCTAAAATGGAATTATTCCTATTGGGATCGTCGAGGATTCAAAACTCTACTTGGTTACACTTACTTTCTTGGCCACTTGAAGATTCCACCAAAGAAAACAATAGCGGTTACAGTTCAAGATATGTACAAAGCAACCGATGAGCCATTTATTGGAATTTACACTCTATTACGTCCAATATTGCTGGTTCGTGATCCCGAGCTAATTCGTATGATTTTAATCAAAGACTTTTCACATTTCACCGATCGTATTGTTGAAATAAAAAGCGATTATGATCCCATACAAAATCATTTGTTCACATTACCTGGTCATAAATGGAAAGATCTGCGATCGAAACTTACTCCGGCCTTCACATCGGGTAAGTTGAAAGCGATGTTCACAACCGTAGTGGAATGCGGTTCAAAATTGCAAAGTTGCTTGGAGAAACTATCGCACACTGGCGAATTGTTGGACGTGCGTGAAATATCAGCTAGTCATACAACGAATGTAATTGCATCGGTTGCATTTGGCATCGATATCGACACAATTTCCAATCCAAATTATGATTTTCGTAAATATGGTCGCAAATTTTTGGAGCCAAATCTAAAAAATGTACTTGCCTTTGTGGCGCCATCGATTCTTCGATTGTTGCGTATAAAAGTATTGAATTCAGAAGTTGAGCATTTTATCATGTCGGTTGTTCAACAGAATTTGGAATATCGCGAACGAAATAATGTGAGCCGCAAAGATATTTTCCAATTATTAATTCAATTAAGAAACACGGGCACGGTACATTTGGACGATGAGTGGGAAACAGTGATTAAAGGTGATGCGGAAAAGAAAATGTCACTTATCGAAATTGCAGCGCAGACTTTCATATTTTTTCTGGCGGGTAAGATATTAGTTTACAATTGCTATCATTAAAATTGAAATGCTTTTTTCGAATTAGGTTTTGAGACATCGTCGACAACGCTTACATTCTGTTTATACGAACTTGTCAAGAATCCAACGATCCAAGAACGCGTTTACAATGAAATCACTCACGTTTTAAAGAAGCATGATGGAAAACTTACCTATGATTCTCTTTTGGATATGAAATTCTTGGAAGCTTGTATAGAAGGTAAACGAACACTTTGCTTTGAAATTTAGACAAATAATGTTTGAGATATATTTTTGTTGTTATAGAAACATTGCGAAAATACCCTGTGTTGGGAGTTCTCACCCGCGCATGTGTGAAAACCTATCAGATTCCTGGCACAGATAAACAGCATTGAAAAAGGCACGGAAATATTTATACCAATTTATGCTTTACAAAGTGATAAAAAGTACTACGAAGATCCAGACAAATTCATTCCCGAACGGTTCAATGAAGAAAACTCAGTGGGGAAGAATTTTGTGAATCGACCATATCTCCCGTTTGGTGAAGGGCCACGAAATTGCATTGGGTTAAGACTGGGAAAGATCCAAACAAAGATCGGACTGGTTTTAATGTTACATAAATTCAAATTTGAACTGGAAAGTGGAATTGTGAATCGTGAACTCAAATTTGATCCCGGATCATTTTTGCTCACACCACTTGAACGCATTCAATTACATGTTATCAAACGAGAAAGTTCTGAGTAATGTCTACAATTAATGTAAAACAGTAAATGAAAAATGTGAAGATGCAAAAATGGTTGGATTTAAAAATTGTCCTCATTGTTTTATTTATTTTTCAAAGAAAATATATTTTAATTCACTATTTATACTATTTCAAGTCGCATTAAATGGAAAATTAGTACTTTGTAGAAAAAGAAAATTTGCGATATTTCGGAGATTGATTTCGACGAAAAAAGGTTGCACGTCCTTTTGCAGAAAAAGTATATCGACATTTTATGAATATCTGCAGCCATTGTATCAATTAATTAGTTGGCAGTTCGCTAGGTTTTAAAGAAACGATAAGACTACTGACTAAAATGATAAAAAAATTCACGTATAGTTGGCGCTACATTCTATGTAATAATCGTATACCTTCCACTTAGTCCATTGCAACGGAAAACAAGTTTGCATAGAATGCAGCGCCAACTATATGTGAATTTTATTTTTTATCGTTTGTAGGCAATGAATCTATGGTTTTCGTATGGCTTCCCGAGTGGAAAAAAAGTGACTAAGTTACTATTGACTGTAAGTGACTATAGTTAGCTATATTCATGAATTTTAAAATTTTGTATGGAAAACAATCGACTATAGTTACTCAGTCAGTCAGGCGATTATTTTGGGACGTTTTGACTATCGGGTGACTATGATTATTGTCAACTAAAGTTAGCTGTTGCAGTCAACCATAGCTTACTTTAATTGATTGAAGTTAAATAAATTTAACTAAGGTTGCTTGTTTTTACAGTCAACAGTCAGTCAGTTTGTCCCAAAATAGTCAGTCACTTTTTTTGTACACGGGTTCTTTTAAATAATTTGGTAAATCAGTAGAGTTTGATAAATATACAGATACATAATCTCGCATCACTTACATTTTACTTCATTAGTCATATAATTGCTTAATAGCACACCTAGGGGCAGAGCAGTACTAGAATAATAATTTTCGTTTAAAGTAATTCTATGTTGTGAGTAGTAATCCATATTAATCCATAGTAATACACACTGACGTAAACTCTAACAGCAGTGTAATGTTGTTTCATGTGTACGTTATGTATTACATTTGTTAGGAATAAACCGATCGTCGTATATTGCAGATTGAAACAATTTATTCGATATTTATTAAATTAAATTCGTTATTTTCCAATTTTCAACAATAAAATGTCTCATTAGAAATATACGGCGATGGCTTCATGCCTAGCAAATGTCATACATAACGTACACATGAAACAACATTACACTGCTGTTAGAGTTTACGTCAGTGTGTATTACTATGGATTAATATGGATTACTACTCACAACATAGAATTATTTTAAACAAAAATTATTATTCTAGTACTGCTCTGCCCCTAGTAGCACACTTTTCAACTCTCGAATCTCTACTCTGTAATGTGGAAACGGCAGAAATGAAAAACTATGGATTTTCCCCCCATGGATTTTTCCAGGCACCCCCTACGCAATTTTGCCATAATTTTTTCTTTCATTTATTACATTTTTGTAAAAAGAAAAGAGAAACCTTCAGTTTCCGTGTAATGGATGGACGAGTCGCAATTTTTAAAACTAATAAAATGTAAAGATGGTTCATCATAGATGATGACGTAAAATTTTTTAGGGGGGGGTGATGGCAAAATTCTGTAGGGGGTTCCTGGAAAAATCCATGGGGGGTCCCTGACGATGTCAACAATTTGTACGAAATGACACAAAAATCGTTTTTTTTTTTTTTTTTTTTTTTTTGGAAGTCACTTTTTTGGCGAAAATCCCTAGCAAAACGAAAGAATTTTTCAACTCCAAATTCTCTAGCAAATGACGATAAAATCGTTTTTTTTTTTTTTTTTTTTTTT